CACTGGATCAGATAATGATTCTCTGTGAATTTATTCATAGATGCAGATAAATTCATCGCCAAGTCAACTGGCATCAACGCTGTAACCTGATGAGGCGCAACGGCCAGATTCTCCCTATGCCTCTTGGAGACCCTATTTCTCCATCGACTACGAGGAATGTCAAAGTATATTCTCTGTTCTAAACATTTATTGCATCACTGTTGAAATGTCAATACGAGTCCTTGCATTACGCATTTCATGAACAGATAACAGAATATCATCATGCACATCTTATTCTAATATTAACGGTCCCTGATTTTCATTTCCAAGCCCGGATCGCTCCCTATGTCATCCTCGACACGGATTACGAGAACTTCTCGTGCATCTACTCCTGCACCGAATTCAACTTCGGATACTACGCCGACTTCGCCTTCATCTTCTCCCGCTCGCCAAGCCTTTCTGACCAATACCTGAGACGCTGCGAGGCCGCCTTTAAGGAGATCGGCGTCGACGTCTCTCGTTTCACGAAGACAATCCAGGGTTCTGACTTTAAAAATCGTTTTAATGTTCAATATATACATTCATATTCAAATACATGTACGTGTACAGCTACACGGGAAACTATCGTTAGAAGGGGTGTCGAAACATTCAGTATCGAACAGAACGTTGGTATATTAGGTTTCGAATTTCTCAGGTTTCGAATTTCTCGTTCTAATTCATGTCTCGTATAGTCATTCCGGAATTCATAGGGATTCACTGTGAGATTTATTTATAAGGATGGAATATGCTTTGCAATATACAAATAAGCCACGCATACCCAAAATTAGTTGGAAATCAGGGATATCAGTAGTTTTGTAGTGTTACAACTATATTAAAAAATTATCGTTTGTGTCAGAATGTTTAGCATGATTTTCTAACGATTTTTTTTTTCTGTGTAGCTGTATATGAATATGTAAGTACAGTGGAAATACTTTAATTTTGACATCGATATATCTATCTATCTATCTATCTATTCTCTATCTATATATATATATATATATATATATATTTATAGATATGCATGATATTTTCCTTTCCATTTTGAATTGGTTAATAACCATTTCCTTATAATGTATGAAATAATTAATATATTCAATACGTATAACACTAGAGTAAATGGAAAGAAAATGAAGATTTGTCAAAATAGCAGATACACAGAATACAACGTATCAATATTTTTTTTCACATCTATTAAATAAAAGTAATGATAATGATAATAATAATGATAAAGATTTAAGTATGATCTGTAACTATAAAGCATCCAGTTCTCCTCTCTCTGTGGATGTAAATCAAAAGAGAGCCTGTATTACATGCATAACACACAAAGAAATGTCTATCTGTCGGTGTATTTATCTATGTATTTATTTGCATGTCTTTTATATGTGTGTTATTTATATATATATAATATTATATATATAATATATATATATATATATATATATATATATATATATATTTGCAACACACACAAACACGTAAAAGTACGTTTTGTGCGAGAATATATGTGTGAATCTTTGGATTGCACCTCCAGATTCTGGACACTTTTAGAGAACGGATATTGAAAAAATGTTTGGAATTTCCTTCATTCCTGGATATCCATATCATCATTAAACAGTTCAGCAACTGAAAATTTTCATCTGGCATTTACGATCACGCGCGCATGAATGTGTATGTATGGTAATGTTCAGATATGAGTTTATGTTTTTAAATCATTGTACTGAATACATTATTCCTTCTGGTGACACTGTTATTCAGTATCTATCTGTATCTATGATCTTTAAAAACGTGCAATATGATAAAAATGCAATCACTGTTTATTCCAGGTTTATTGGACAGATTCGGTTTGCTAATTTAATGAAAATGACCTATTTTCTCACAACAGTCTTATTGACTTTATACAGAATAAAACAGTCCAAATTATTATCAGTTATTAGAGATATTCATTACGCAGACTGTAAGCAGATTTATTTCATTAAACGCCATTGTATCTTTGGGTATTGTTTGATTTTACCTTCCTTACTCTGCATGTCAGATGTTATTAGTTTTATTTTTTCGAAGTTATAATCTTTCATTGCGTATGAATTTAAAATCATTCACCGATAAGTATTTCGATGCGTATCTAAATATATATTAAATATTTATGACTATTATTCGACATTTTTTTATTATTATTAGAAAAGGACATATATACACTCAAATGTGAATCATGGATAAAAATATCGTAAACTCTAAGCTCTGTAGACACATTCGGCCGTATGAGCAACTTCATTGAATGAGGAGAAGTCGACTCCGTTCTTGCGGAAGACGGAGGCGCACTTGTCGTTCGCTGGACCGGAAGTCTGTGGGGGTGCGGGAGAAGACGAAGCCGAACTCGGATTTTAGTGCCGTTCCAGTCGATGCAGGAATACACGCACGAGTAGCTGTCGTATGTCAGTCCGATCTATTTGGAGCGGCGAAATGCGATGGAAAGAAAAATTGATTA